AATGTCACCTGTGGGGTTGTACAATACAGTCGTCCTAGATCCTGGGACCAAGGGGACTACAGTTGGCCAAGGTTGCAGTGGGCACTGGTGGCCCTGGAGAAGATACCAGGGCTTGGACAGGAGACTGCATGCCTCCCGGCATCTTCCGTGCATCTTCTCTGTACAAAGGCAGGAAGGGGGATGGGCGTCCCTGCTGGAAGCGTCTCAACTCTTCCCAAAGCTGCTATGCATCCAAGACCCAAAGCTTCCCCGGGCCTTTCTGACCCAGTCTGGGCCTCTGGATCACTCCTGCATGCTCATACACCTGTCCCCACACGTTCCCCACCCCTCTCTTGTGCTTACATCACGCGGCGAAGCTCTGGGTACCTGCCCCGCTGCGGGCCGCGCATTGGGCTGGGGCTGAGAATCCTGAGGATTGGTTCAAAGGGCTGACTGGGCAAGAGAGGCGAGCCGGCAAAGGTGTCCCCGGAGCTGACCCCACCCCGCTGTAGTCCCCTGAGAATAGAGAATCCCTTCAGCCCCCCCCCTTTTAAATTTTTTTTTATTTCAGCATATTACATGGGTACAAATGTTTAGGTTACATATATTGCCTCTGCCCCACCCAAGTCAGAGCTTCAAGCCTGTCCATCCCCCAGACGTTGCGCACTGCACCCATTAGGTGTGAATACACCCATCCCCTCCACCCCCCCATCTGCCGACACCCAGTTATTGTTACTACTGTACGTGCACTTAAGTGCTGTCAGTTCATACCAATCTGATGGTGAGTACATGTGGTGCTTGTTTTTCCATTTCTGTGATACTTAGTAGAATGGGCCCTAGCTCTATCCAGGATAATACAAGAGGTGCTAGATCTCCCTTGTTTTTTGTGGCTGACTAGAATTCCATGGTATGCATATAGCACATTTTATTCATCCACTCATGTATTGATGGGCACTTGGGTTGTTTCCACATCTTTGCAATTGTGAAGTGTGCTGCTATAAACATTCTAGTGCAGATGTCTTTCTTATAGAATGTCTTTTGTTTCTTTGGGTAGTAGATGCCCCAGTAATGGGATTGCTGGGTCAAATGGTAGTTCTACTTGTAGCTCTTTGAGGTATCTCCATATTGCTTTCCACAGATCTTCAGCCCCTTCTTGCATGGGGCCAGTGTACAGGCTCCTACCACTGGCTGAACAGGATGGTGTGAAATAGTGAATGGGAACGTCAGCCTGCCATGGCTTATGCTTATGGAAGGAAGCCAGTCAGAAGGAGCTGGAGCCCACCCTTTGTCCCCAGACTGGCCACAGGGGGGCACTTGATCTCCAAGAAGGAGCTTGACCTGAGCAGCCACTGCAGGCACCAGAACCTCTTCTGGGGCTGGGCATTGACTGCTGAACTTGCCTAGAAAGGCAATACCTGCTCCCAGCCCCTACCCCTTGGTTCTTTTGACTTCTCCCCTTTTTTTCCTTCTTTCAAAAAACACTTTTGTATTTTTAAACAGTATTCAATTTAGAAAAGAGTTGCAGAGGTAGTAGTTTCTGCATACTGTTAACGACTGACATAGTCATGGTTCTCCCCTCTTTATGCTCCGGCCCATCTCTGGGTGTGGAACACCTGGGTTGAGGCTGTCTCTGCCCCAGCTCCTGCTGCGTGACTAGTACTGCCAGCTAAGAACATGGGGCCACTGGCTTCAAGTACCCAGGGTGTCATGGCCCAGGACTCCAGCAGCATGGAGTGCCAGGCAGGGTAGCATAGGAGTTCTGAGGTTCCCCCATCAGGGAGTGGGGAGTGACAGGGACGGTGGCAGAGCAGAAGGTGAGGGGCAGTGAGGCTCCTCGGGTGGGCCAGGATCCTGGGGCGGAGACTAGGCTATGCTTATGGAAGGCAGGCTATGCTTAGGAGGTTCAGAGCGGCAGGCACCCTGCGACGTGCAGTGCATGGGACCCTATGGGTAGGCAGGGCATCTGGGCCCCAGAGCAGGTGCTCTGTGGAACTGTGAGGTCTTCCTTAAGAGGTTTCTCCTGGGCCAGTCTCCCCCATGCTTTGGGTGACTGAAAAGCCAGGAAAACACAAGTCACTCCCACCTCCAGACCCACTCTGTCCCCCAGCCGCCATCCTCCCAATAGCCTAGGGGCAGAGGTTCTGTCCTCAGCTAGTTAGAGCGGGGAAGTCATAAGGGCTTGGGAAGACTTAACTGACTCGGGTCCCTAAGGTGTGTGTGGGCAGTTCCACCCCCGTCACGGTTGACGCAGTCTCTGGTTTGAAGTCCTCTGCTGCGTAGCCACTGACTGTTCCTAACCTCCGTTGGCATCGTCTGGGAGCAATGAGCTCAAAGTCCCTAGTTCCCCAGGTTTCAGAGTGTGTTGTGTGGAAGAAGCCCTGCAAGGTCAAACTTGACTAAACTGGAGGAGAAAGGCGATGGGGGAGGAGAGACTGGGACATTTTCGTTTCCCTGACGAAGCTGCTCGAGCTTCAGTGGTTCTGACGGGAGAGAAAGACACGGCTACCGCTTGGCCCTGGCTTGGAGGGGTGGCGAGAAGGGGCAGCAGTGAGACGGGTGTCCCGATACTCACCCCACAGGGTGGCTGTGAGGATGGAGTGGCCCACCCTCCAGACAGCCCTCAGCGCAGGTCCTGGTGCTTGTGAACCCCTCGGTAATTGATAGCTTAAGAAAGACTTAGGACCTCACACAGCAACCAGCCTCGGGCCGAGTCTCTGGCCTGAAGCCCGGGGAAGGCCTGTGAGTGAGTCAAGCAGGCTGTTTCTAGAGCTGGTAGGGGAGGGGGCCCTTCTGTCCCAGGGGAAGGAGTTCCTGTCCTCTGGCAGGGAGCGTACAAGGAAGGAGTTATTCAAGGGGGTCTGCAGCCACTGTATCCTGGTTTCCCTGTCCAAAGCTGCCCGTGCAGGATCTGGGGGAGCTGGGGACATGAGCAGGTCATCCAGGCAAATGGAGGTGACACTCTGCCTGGCTTTCCTGCTGCAATGACTCCACAGCCTGGGGTGCCCAAGCTTCGGTGGGTGGGGCAGGCTCTGGCTAGGTGTGAGAGAGGACTTTGCTGTAGTCCCAGTCACCTCTGTGCTCTTCCTGGTCCCTTTTCTATCCCAGTTGGGCCCGAGCAAGACAGGCTTGCCAGAGGCTTTAGAGCCATAAAGGCCTGGGTTCAGATCCTGCCCTCTGCCTGGCCATGTGTACTTGAACAAGAGACCTCTCTAAGCCTCGAGTCCCTTACGTGGGAAGTAGGAATGATGGTAATATCTGTCAAGGTCATCGTGAGGATTAAATGAGGTAACGGACCTTATGAAGCCTCAGAATAAACAGGTCGTGTGTCCTCTCCCCTCTGACCACGTTTTCCCGGTGATGGGTTCTCGCCCAGACCCAGAGCAGCTTGTGTGTGCTGCTGAGCGGGGCCAAACGAAAGTAGGCTGGGATTAAACCTGTGCCGTGAGAGGAGGAAAAGGAACATCTCTGTGGAGTAGAGGGCGACCGATACGATGGGAGGACTTGGAAAAGCTTCCCGCTACCCCAGCCCATTCTAGCTACACCACCAGGCTCCAGAGAGAGAAGCTGCCAAGAGAGGAGGTATAAAAATAGATAAAAAATACAAAAATAAAACTGCCAGTGGACTGGTTTAATTTCTAAGATTCAAGCATTCACAAACTTTGGAAAAGTTTAAAATCCTCACTGCTTATGAGTTTGATGATGGCTGCTGCTGTTTTGAGATTTTTTTTTAAGAGGTGGCCACAGATTGACTATCAGCCATTTAAATTTGTCTTTACAGGAGGAGAAGCTAATGCCGGCTGACAGTCAGCTGACAAGTAGGGGGTGGCTGGGGTCCTTCTTGACCTGTGGATTTGCTTAGCACTCGGATCTCTTACCAGCGCACTTAGCCCTGCCAGGGCTCAGGAGGAGGCCCCAGCCATCCTGTCCCATGGGCCCAGTTTTCATCCCTGCCTTTAAGCTTTGTGTCAAAGTATGGAGAGGTTGGGGGTACGTTCTGAAATTGTGTATTCCCATGTATCGAAAACCCGGGTTCTTGGTGGTTCTTTTAGGGCTTAAATCCCCTTCTTAGGAGATTTTAACTCCCATTCCTCTCACTCTTGGGTGGTGGCTTAACTGGAGCTGAAGAAATGCCCTCCCCCCCGCCCATTCCCCTGTGGGGTAGAGGACGTAATGCTACCTGGTCTATAAACCAAGTACAGTTAGCCAGCTCCATCTGCCTTGGTGTGGGGCCATTCCGCAGTTCCCTAGTACTTGTCCCTGCGAGGATAAGCGTGTCCTTAGTCGAGTAGTAGGGGAGGGAAAGTAGCGGATGAGCTGAGCCACCCTTCATTCATCATCAGCAATGACAGGAGCCAAGAGGCTGCACCAGTCTGCTTGATGGCTCCACCTGTAGCCCTCCCTTAGTCCAGACAGGCAAATAACTTCGTAGGCCTGAGGTTTATTCTAGTTCATTCTCACCCTCTTCTGCTCCCCCTCCAGTGTATGTGGTGGAAGACCAGAGAAGAGACGACCTGGGACCATCCACCTGCCTTACAGCCTGCTGGACTGCTCTGTGTTGCTGCTGTCTCTGGGACATGCTCACCTGACCAGGCCAGCCCTCCTGTCCTGCCGGCTCTGCCGCCAGCCCCCATCTCTTCTGACTGCTGTAATAAATGACTAGCTCTGCACAGAAACGTCTACTTTCAGCACTGTGGGAATCTAGATTAGTGGGGGTTGCTGCTGTTTAATTCAGTGACTTGATCTTTTTGATGTTCGAAATACATTTCTTACTGATCTTTAACAAATGTGCTAAATGATTCCTTTTATTGGCCAAAGGCTTAGTTATGAAATACATATTTATGATTTTAAATTATACATTCAAGGTAGTGGCAAAATGTAACAAACCACAGAGTAATTTTTCTCTGCTATCACCCTCTAAGTTTCAATAAATTTGTCCAAACCTCACTTGTCTAAATTATTCCAGATACAATCTAAGCTACCCTGAGTCTGTTTCCATGTCTCCTGGACTCTCATTTCTAACTACTCGTCTCACTGAGGCAAGTGAGGGTATGTCGACAAGCTAGTGGCCAGTGTCTGATGAGGAGCCCATCTACCTTTCCATTCTGCTATTAGCCGAACACTGTGGCTGCTATGGTCATGGGGCACCTGGCTAGCATTCTCTCCCTGTCACACTCGGAGATGGGCTCAGGCATTTGCGACCTCAGCTCGTACCTGCCTTTACCCAGAGCCTAGGAAAAGGGCCTTTTGGTTCACAGTCATATGGGTCCAGACCAGAGGCTTTCTTTTCCTGCCATCCCCTCCCACGTCCTCACCCCAAACTAGTCAGCCACACCACTCATCTTTGGCCACAAGGTGGCAGTGACCTGCCACAGCAGCAAGTCAGATTCTCCAGCCTGTCTGGCCCCGCCCATGCCACACAGAAGGCTGCTGTTGACAGCTCCCCGCACACTCTGCCTGCCTTCCCTCCGAAGCAGTGGTGTGCTGATAAATGTCTACGTACCAGTTCTCTCGGGGCAGGGGGACCGTGAATGCCCCCACCATGTCATGGCTGATTTCAGGCTACCAATACAGTGTCACTGATCACGGAGTTGGGAAGAAAAGCACAGGAACGCACCATTATGTGCTGTTTTTACCACCCAGACACAATACTATTAACCTCAGAGTTAACAGATAATGGTCAACTGTAGTAATATAATTAGGAAGGGATGAGTTCTGAATATTTACCATCCTTATTTTTAACATAATTTGAAGATTTACATAATCTTTAATAATGGCTGTGTTTAACAACTGGCTCACAACAAAATTTCTGAAAATTGAATAATCGGCCCTCCTGAGCTGGGACAAGCCAGGTCCAGCACACCACTCACTGTCCCAGAGCCTCTAGGAAGCCTCAGGATTACAGTGTCCATCTTATGCTACTGGCCAAAGGGAAAGAGTCTCGGAGATGCTGCTTATTATTGAACTTTCTTTTGGAACGCTGATCAAGAAAGCAGCGAGGAAAGGAATCTTTAGGCAGACGGCCATGGAGGGACTGCTATTCTTTCTTCCTCATCTGCATGCTACAATTACGTGGAGGCCCAGAAGCTGAGGACGTTAGTCAGAAAGGTACAGAAGGAGGAGAGGAGGACGAGATCCTACTCCCCAAGGAAGGAAAGGCTCCAACGCAGAGGGAGTGGGAGCTGAGGTGGAGACGGCCACTGCCTCTCTCGCTCTGTTCTCAGCCCTCGGCTGGAGAAAAAGCAGACTTAGCAGAGGGGGATGGGTGCCTTTTATTGGCCTGGTCAGTGCGTGCAGTGGCAGGCTCAGGGGAAGCTTCTTTCTCTGGCCTGGCTCTCATGTTCCCTCTCCTAGGAGTTTGCGACTCACCCCAGGAGAGAAGAGTATCTAGGCAGAGTGGCAGGCAGAGCCAGGGTGAAAATTATAGGCTTGGGATCTGAAAGGGGCTCACGATTATGTAGAAAAGGTGAGGTTGCTCGGCCATCCAGATGAAACGTCCATCAGAGCAGGGGGCAGGAAGAGCTTTCCCTGGAGGCTCCCTACTGGGCCCTTCGTGCCATCAGCATCTCCCGGATGTTGTCTTCAGCTTCCTTAACGCTCCGCTCCAGGTAGGATTTTTTCTGCTGCAGTATGAGAAAGAGACAAGGGTTAGGACCAGGGTGAATGGGCCAGGCTGGCAGGCCCAGGCTTTATGCCCAATGGTTATGGCTCCTCTTTTGTGAGGAGCAACTTCCAGGAGCACACTGTCTTAACGGGAGCCAGGGGCACGCTCCTGCCCCAGTGCTTCCCCACCTGTGGCCTACGGGCAGGGTGAGGGGACGGCTTGGTACAGGAAGCAGAGGTGCTCTTCCCCCAGAAGGAAGTGAACTCTGAAAACAGGCATCTTGGTACATGAAGTTACCAGACAGACAAAGGCCAGGAAATTCCAGAACAAAGCTCCTGCCCCGTAACAGACTATCTCCTTTCACGGTTTTCCACGGCCCGGGCCAGGCTCCTGCAGCCGCCGTGGACAGTGCACGCTCTGCTCCGGCCGGCGAGACTGCAGGCTGCGGCGAGTGTGGCACACGCTGCACCAAGGCAGATGAGTCAGGATGAAAGCGGCTTTTCCAGTGCTGCCGCCGCCTGCCAGGAATCCAGGCTGGTGACACACTGCATGAAACAGACCTCGTGGAAGTTTCCCTCCTACCCCATCTGGGTCCTAGATTACAACTCTCAGTTTACACAAAGAACTTTTACTGCTTTCAGGAGCCACATCTGGGCCGGGATTATAGAAGATTAGTCAAAGGAAATGATGTCTGTACATGATTTGCCCTGTGCTCACCCCAGAAGTATGGTGGCGTTACCACTGGTCCCTGCCCTGAGGACACAGTTGTGGCTGTGTTCCCACTTAACAGACATGAAACGAAGCCTCTCTTTTTAAGGTGTATTATTCATGGCCCTGAAGGAATACTCACAATTCTCACCTCCCAGGGCACACGTGGACCAAACCACACTGGAGCCAGCAATGCCGCGTCTGGCCCGGGCAGCCCAGGCGCCTTTACCCCAACAGCTGGAGACTCAGTTGACCCCTGAAGGGCCCTCAGGACTCAGGGAAGCTGGGGGTGCTGAGGGCAGAGGGCAGGTGAGCTGCACATCGCTGCTTCAAGTGGCGGCACAGCCTGGTACGGCAGGCCTCGCTTGGGAGCCGATCCCCAAGCTCTGAGACGGGAAAATCAAAATGAATGCCCCACTCCTCGCCTGCACCATTAAACCTCTCTGAAGCCCTCTACAGATCCCTCTAACTTACCCCACTCTCTGTCCAGACAGTTACTAAATGATACACCGAGGGGCTTTTTCCACAGAAGCCAAATGTGGCATACACAAACCGTTATCAGCTCCTTCGCGAACCTGATTCCTGTTTGTCCTCTCCTAACTTCAATTTCCTGAAGACTAGAAAGAGCATTCCTTACTCATCTCCCATCTGTCCAACGCGCACACAGTTCCTTACAACACACCGGGAGCTCCATAAAAACTCACCGTGACCACGATAACAATTCAAAGGCCATAAACGGATGTTGTTGCTAAGGAATTGTGTCTACATTGCTAAACCTGATACAGTCCTATCATCGTGGTATCAGAGTGAGAACTTAAACTTCCTTTGATAAACAACTCTTAGACTTTACCTGTGGTGCGCTGAAGAGAGGCAAACACTAGTAACTGCTGACACACCGCTGAAGAATGCGCGTGCACCAGGTGCCGCACGGAGGGGAGCAGCAGCTCAACAGCGCCACGTGCCACCCGCGCCGTGTGGGTTCCAGCCCCACGGGACTGCAGGGGAAAGCCCAGTGCAGCGAGCTGGCCTCTCCCCTGCAACAGCCAGCCCGTGCCCAGGGCCCCTGGTCTGCTGCATCCGATCTTTGCCAACTGGGTGCCACAGCTGGCAAACCACAATCAGCAAGAGCTTTTCTGCTCTACTGCCCAGGCCTCTGGCCAAATTCAGCTTTAAAAATTCTTTATTCCTTTAGGTTTGGAATGTGTTGCTAAGAAAAAAAAAAAATTATAAAAATGAAAACATTTTTAAAAATTTTTCTTTTTTTTTTCTTTGAGACGGGGTCTCGCTGTGTTGCCCAGGCTAGAGTGCAGTGGCTCTTCACAGGCAGGATCCCACTACTGACCAGCACAGGAGTTTTGACCTGCTCCACTTCCGACCTGGGCTGGTTCACCCCTTCTTAGGCAATCTGGTGGTCCCCCGCTCCCAGGAGGTCACCATATTGATGCTGAACTTAGTGCGGACACTGAATCGGCATAGCGCGCTACTGCCCCAAACTCCTGGGCTCAAGCGATCCTCCCGCCTCAGCCTGAGTAGCTGGGATTACAGGCACGCACCACCTCATCCGGCTAAAAATTCTTTATTTCTTAACACCTCTTACCTCTATCTTCTATTTTCATGAATTTTACCACTGCATATCCTAAAGTCTTCAAGTTTCAGAAAATGCAAATAAACTTATCTGTCTTTATTTTTGTGTTTTTTTTTTTAATAATAAACCAAGAGCTTTATTGATGCAGCAGGCACTTTACAATGAACCCCAGAGTGTCCACCTTCTCTGGGAAGACAGGATGTCTGTACAAACTCTCAGGTTTTTTTCCACTTCAACAACAAAAAAACGAGCTCTCCCTTGGCCAGGCGCGGTGGCTCACGCCTGTAATCCTAGCTCTCTGGGAGGCCGAGGTGGGCGGATTGTTTGAGCTCAGGAGTTCGAGACCAGCCTGAGTAACAGTGGGACCCCGTCTCTACTAAAAATAGAAAGAAATTAGATGGACAACTAAAAATATATAGAAAAAATTAGCCAGGCATGGTGGCACATGCCT